GAGGGAAGGTGGTGTGGAAAGGGGGAACCGATTACAGGCATCTACATACAACCTCCTCCCTGGGGGATGGACAACAGAAAAGTGGGTGAAGGGAGATGTCAGACAGTGTTATGATATGACGAAATAATAATTTATAAATTATCAAGGGTTCATGATGGAGGGGGGAGCAGGGAGGGAGGGGAAAAAATGAGGAGCTGATGCCAGGGGCATCAGTGGAGAGCAATGTTTTGAGCATGATGAGGGCAATGAATGTACAAATGTGCTTTACACAATTGATGTATGTATGGATTATGATAAGAGTTGTTGAGGCCCTAATAAAGTGATTTTTTTTAAAGTTGATTATGGAAGATATCGTTAGGTTAAAATGTAACACCTTATCATTTGATCTCCCTTCTGACCCATTTTAAAATTGTTTCAGTTTTTCATATTTTCTACTTCTCGATTGTCCTTTTCTGTTTTGTCTAGTTGTCATTTTGCTTCCTATTCGTGTTTTGCATGATTTTCTCTATCTGAAATCTGGGACAGGTAGATCTATAGAGACTGGAGCTGGGTTGATAATTGCCTAGGGGCATAGCAGGGGAGGATGGAGGGAAATGGGCAGCTAACAACAAATGGGTGTGAGAAGAAAATGTTCTGAAATTGATTGTGTTGATGATTGCACAAATCTTCTTAATATGACAGAACATTTAAGTTGTGTGATATGTGAAGAATATGCCAATAAAAGTATTAAAAAAAGATAATCAGAAATAATTGGGTTTTTAATAAATATACAGAAATTTCTCACAGGCTAAATTTATAACAATAGAAAAGCAAAAGGAAGCTTCTGATTTTCATCAATTATAATTTCTAAATAATACTTCAATAACAAAATTTAACATTTCATTTGAAAATGTATGGTTTTTAAGAATATCAGCTTTACAATTTCTTAAATTTTGTTTCAATATGTTTCTGTTATATTTGAGCATTATAATTTCAGCTTATCTCTAAAAATATTGCCAGAAAATTATTTTGATTAGGATTTGGAAAAGTTTTGAAACATAATCCTGAAAACTAATTCATTAATTCATATGAAAAGTCAATTAAAAACATCCCTAGGTCAATACTGTACAAAACATAAATGTACTGGATACCATTTTACTCTTTATCAAAAAGTTAAATAGATTCACTGCCACTGAGTCGATTCTGACTTATAGAGACGCTATAGGACAGTGTGAAACTGCTTTTACTAGATGGTTAAAATTTTAAAAAAGCTACCTAACTGGCTGTGCTTACTAATCAGGTAGAGATTGGTGGAAACTTGCAACTACAGCCCTAAAATAACCTTCGGGTATGAAAATTAACTCACTCCTAAGGCTCAACTTTCAGAGAAACAATAAATAAGTCTGTTAGGGGTGCAGTAACACCAGAGAAGGGTACATCATTAGAATTGTCAATCACTGCAATCAAAAGAGCAGCATTTACTCAAAAGGAAAAGTCAAATGGGACAAAGAAGTAGAATAAGAGATGTTACATTATGAGGACTGCATCATGAAACAAAAGGTATATGAATTTTTGAACGGAAAACTGATCTATTCTTTAAAACTTCATCTAATTCACAGTAAAAATTTTAAAGTAGAAAAAACTGTGGCACAGTAAAAGACACTTTAAACAGAATTAAAGTACAATGAAGGAATAAGTACTACTTATAGATTAAAAGGAAAAATATAAGAAAATAAGAATTAAAATCATATCAATAATGGGAAAATTTATAAAATAGAAACAGTCCAAAGGGTATCGCAAGAAATTAAGACAGTAATGAACAATAAGAAAATTAAAAGAGTGTGGTTTTTCTAAGTAAAAACTTTCCAGTCTTAAAAACAGTGTAAGGAGTCACACTCTCTCAAAATACTATTGTAATGTATGTATAACTGTATTACAGAGCAAGCATTAAAGCAGTGAACTTAAACAAACAAACAAAAAAGAAGAAGCTAGTGCACAATCAATAAAGTATACAATGGAGCAATTATCCCGTAAGGATGAAGGTCTAAGACCATATTAAATCCGTTTCTTTATAACCTTTAAAATCATTAACCAACCTGAGCCACTTTAATTGAGTTCTGGGTAGAGCCACCAGCATGATATTCAACACTGAATTTTTTTACAAGTTCCTCAAACCTACAAGAAAATCATAGCAAAGAAATATATATTAGAATCTGTCAGTTATCATAATACAAATCTAGAATAAAGGTGGAATAAAGCACATAAAATTGGAATTTAAAAATTATATCATTATGTTGAATTAAGTAAATTAAAATATTATGACAAGTTTCCATACTTAAATTGCCTCATAAACATACCCTTATAAGAATTTTAAGTGTCTGTGCTGTCTATAATTATACATTAAACAGAAGGTATAAATAATAACTCATAAATTATCATTTATAAGTAATTAATTAAGTTCCTATAGTATTCAATTTTATAATAATGACAAATGAATATTCTAATATGCTTGTAATTTAATGAATGAACCAACTACATTGGGTTGTACTCTTAGGAAAGTGGCTTCTAAGTGACACAGTTTCTATCTTCTAAATTAAGGTCAAGAAATTATTATGGTTGGCATCTGATAAAAGCTATAGAATTGCTCCCAAGAAAATGCATATATTCACTATACATGAAATTTTACCTAGATCAAATATACTAGAAATTTACTGTATCAATCATGTATACTCCCTCCATAAATACATACCGAGCCAAGGGACAATGAACAATAATACAAATAATTTTGAATTAAAAAGCATTTATTAATTGGTATTATAACACCACATTTGCCCGTTGCATGTCTCTAACTTTTTCCGCGTAACCGGAGACAACCAGGTTGAGCTGGTATGTACTTTAATTGCAAAGGATTAAAAAGTTTGGGGGGACAAAAGGATGAATGTATATGAAAAAGTAGAGAAAATGCTTCAAACTGTGCAGTGTAGACAGTAAATACTAGAAAAGTTCAGCAAAGACTGGGTCTGTAGGCAGAATATGTAAGGAACTAGATTAGTCATGAAAAATATTTACAAAAACTTTAAAGGTCAACCACAGATGCACCCATACCATTTCAAAGAACTCAAAACAAGTATTAAAAAAAATACAGAAGTGACAGATTTGGCATAGACAATGGCATTCTAAACACTCCAATATCTTGATTCACTTTTAGATCTCTTCTGAGCTAGGTGTGTGAACTAAGCTATCCGCAAGAGTGATGCTAGAGATAGAAGGGAAAAAAGAGAGTGAATGAACAAAGTGCATAGGCATAGAGTGACCGGTTTTCGAAGTGCATTTGAGGCCACTCCCTTTTCAAAAGTCAGTTCCCTCAAAGGTTTCAAACCCATCTCTAATGGGTTCCATGGTGGTCCCCTGAAAGATATATCCCCCGTGAATGTGACATTATTTGCAGAAAGGATTTTGCAAATATAATTAAGTAAAGAAACTTGAGATAACATTACCTCATACTATCCAGGTAGATCCTAAACTAGTATACTTATAAAAGAACAAACAGAAGGTCACATAAAGACAGAAAGAGGGCAAGGATTCACTCAGAGAACCATCTCAGAGGAAGCACAACATTGCTGACACCTGATTTCAGACATATATTCTGAGTTGTGAAAAAATAAATTTCCATTGTTTTCACCACCCAGATTATAGTAATTTACTACGACAATCCCAGGAAGCTAATGCATCATTTCTCACATTACAGGGTCTCTTTTCTTAAGTTTAGTCTCTTCTCCTATATCAGTAGTTTCACTCTTTAAATAGCTAAGGGTCATAATATTTTAGGAAGAACTACCAGTTCAAAATTTGTTATAGATACTAAAACTACAGCAAACCATTTCTAATGCAACTTGGGAAAGTAGAGAATGAAATATTTCACTTTCTACATTGGAAAGCAAACAGCAAATTGCTGGAGACTGGAATCGGACTCTAACCTGAAATTCTAGTCGTAACACTTACTACCTACCTCTGCCACAACATATCCTTCTATATCTTATAAAACTGTAATGAGGATTAAACAGATAAGTTGAATAAACTATCTCCTTTATTCCCATCTTTGGTAACTACTCAATAAATATTACATATGAAACTTTAATATTTACAAAGATACTAGGATTCCTTCTGACACATAGCGGCACATAACACAACAGAAGTAACACTGCCCAATACTGCGCCATCCTCACAAGTGTTCCTGTGCTTGAGCCCACTGTTACAGCCACTGTGTCAAATCCATCCCCTTGAAGGCCATACCACGCATGATGTCCTTATTCAGAGACTGGTCCAAAATATGTAACACTAAGTCTCCACATCCTTGCCTCTAAGAAGTACTCTGGCCCTACTTCTTCCAAGACATGTTGGTTTGCCCATTTAGCAGTCCATGTTACTTTCAATACTCTTCTCTAGCACCACAATTCAAAAGCATTGATTCTTCTTCAGTCTGTCTTATTCAATGTCCAACTTTCACATGCTTATGGGGCATATGAAATTACCATGGCTTGGGTCAGGCCCTTATTCCTAAAGTAACATCTTGCTTTTCAATAGCCTAAAGGGCTATTCTTGTGCAGCAAATTAACAGAATGCAACTGGTCTTTTGATCTTGTCTGTTGCTTCCAGGAGCATGGATTGTGAATCCATGCAAGATAAAATCCTTGACAACTTCACTTTTTCTCCATTTATCATGGTACAGTTGTGAGGATTTTGGTCTTATTTACATTGAGTTGTATTCCATACTAAATGCTTCAAGTCCTACTCACTTTCAGTTAGCAAAGTTGTGTCATCTGCATATTGCCAGTTGTTAGTAAGCCTTCCTCTGATCTTGATGCTGCATTCTTCTTTACATACAATCCAGCTTCTCTGACCATTTTTCCTGCATACAGAGCGAGTAAGTTTGGTGAGAGGATACAGCCCTAACGCACACCTTTCCCGGTTTGAACTGTGCAGTACCCTCCTGTTCTGGTCACACACTTGTCTCTTGATCCATGTACAAATTTCACAGGAGCACAATCAAATGTTCTGGAATTCCCATGCTTCTAAAGCAGCAGTTCTCAACCTATAGGTTGTGAGCCCTTTGGGGGTCGAACGAACATTTCACAGGAGTTGCCCAATCCATAACAGTAGCAAAATGAGAGTTATGAAGTAGCAACGAAAATAATTTTATGGTTGGGGGGGGGGGGCACCACAACATGAAGACCTGTATTAAAGGATGGCAGCATTAGGAAGGTTGAGAACCACTGTTCTAAAGGTTATCCACAGTTTGTTATGATCCACACAGTCAGATATGTCTGCAGAGTCAGTAAAGCACAAGTAAATATCTTCCTGGTATTCTCTGGTTTGAACTAAGATTCATCTGATGTCAGCAATGATATCCTGTGTTTTTCCTCATGCTTTCATTTTGTTAAGTTTGCCAGTGGTTTATCAATTGTGTTAATCTTTTCAAAGAATCAAATTCTTGTCTTTTGTTTTCTATAGTTTAAAATTTTTCTGATTTTATTTTTGTCGTAATCTTTATTTCTTTTCTTCTAGTATTTGAAGGATTCCTTAAATCTCTTAAATCGGCCATCACAAAAAAACGAGGTTAAAGTGAAACTGCTTTCATGAAAAATTCACTGTGAGCAAAGAGAACTTTCCCAGGTAATAGGTAACACAAAAGCTCTGCCAAGTGAGCTTTTGTCCTTTTTTTATTTTGGGTACCACCTTTGTATGTTTATGTACATCTTTATATCTAAGATGCGTTTCTTGTAAGCAGCATACTAAAGGGTTGTGTGTGTTTTTAACCTTTGTTATTCGTTGTATTTTAACTGGTGAATTCATTCCAATTACATTCAGTGATATTATTGATAAATATGGTTCTGCTGATGTCATTCTGTTATAAGCTTCTTTATGATGTTACTGGTTTCCATTTTCATTATTTTTCATGTTCTGTTCTTGCTGTTTTCAGTGGTCTTTTTGATTCTCTTTCTCTATTTATCTTACTGTTTGTCTTGCTTATATAGTTTTTATCCTGTTTTGTCGAAGTTGTAAATTTTTCTTTGTAGTTTTCTTTCCAACTTAAAAAGTTTGTTGTATTTTGTGAACAGTTCAATATCTTCTGTTTTAGTACTATTGTCTACTATGTTCCCTTTGCTTGCTTTATTTTAAAATTCATAGTGAATGCCATGTATGATTCCTTGTTTTAATTTATTTAGTTCTCTCACATTGTATATTACTTAAGCAGAATGTATTTTCCATAATTTCTTTTCTAATATTTTTAGTAATAGTGGTCATTTTTCATAAACTTGCTTAGTTTTTCCTTATCTGTAAATGTTCTTAATTCCTTCACGTATTTGAGAGAAAATTTTTTTTGATATAGGATTCTTGGTTGGCAATTTTTTTCTTTCAGAATTTTGAATATATCATTCTATTGAGCTCCTTACCTGAATGGTTGTGGTAGGAAAATATGAACTTATCCTAATTGTTTACCTTTAGATATAATTGTCTTGTTTGCTGAAATGCCAGGATTATTTCCTTATCTTTAATATTAGAAAGTTGACTATTATATGTCGGGGTGGTTTCCTTTTGGATCAATTCTGTTTGGAATTCTAAAGACAGGCCATATTCAAGATACAAAACTCTATGAGATAAATGATTTGAAAATACTCCTCCCATCTTGAAAGTTATCTTTTGACTCTTTTAGTCCTTTATAGCAGAACAGTTAAGAATTTTTATGATACCCAATTTATCAATTTTGCTATTTTTACTTTTTGTGTCACATCTGAGAATTCAAGGTCAAAGTCAAGGTCTCAAAGAAGTACTCTATGCTTTCTTCCAAGAGTCTTAATTTTATATTTACGTATATTGCCTATTTTGAGGGGTTTTTAATACAATGTAATGTATTGGTCTAACTTCTTGTGTGCTTGTGTCTCACCAGTTGTCCGAGTGCTATTTGTTGAAAGACTGTTCTTTCTTCTGCTGATGTGTCTTGGGACTCTTCTAAGAAATAACTGACCATAACGGTTTCAGTTTACTTCCTGGCTCTCAAGTATCTTTTGCTGATCTGTAACAGTAATATGTGTGTCTTTATGCCAATACCACTCATTGTTGCTTTACAGCAAATTTTTAATTGAAAAATATGTTATTTTTTTAAGAGTTTTGCT